ACTACACAGAACCCCTGGAAGTGTGTTCCAGGAACGCCTACAGACCCCCAGGGACACGCTAGCCCTTATCTGGAAGAGCACCAAGCCTACAAACAATCTACACAGGTCCACCTACAAACAATCTTCTCTCATCTATGACGACAAACAGATGCAAACGGGAGAAAAGGGCTATTAGACTGTGCTATTTAGAGAAGACGACATGACTTCAAGGAAAATGTCGGGGTTTTGTGGACCGACTCTGCAGGGGAGGAGCGTGCTTGGAAACAAGCATCAGCTTGGGAGCACACGTGGAGAGGACCGCCCTGGGAAGAGCCTGAGGTTCGCAGACAGAGCAACAGGCACTATGTGGGGCAGAAGAGTAAGGGTTAAGGTTAGATCCCAAAGATCAAGACAAACAGACCAGAGTGCTCCTCGGCAGGGCTTTGTATGCTGAGGAAGGAGCACAGTAGAACACAGGCTTAAAACGGCAACTAGTGGTGGGTCAAACACAAGGGCTTGTCAATTTTAGGCAGGTTGTCTACATGGAGAGGAGATGGCTAAGTGCTTCCCAGGGCCTCATGGGTGCTCGGCAAGCATCATAAGTATGGGTGAGGAGAAAAGATGTCGGTGTATAGTGTCTGCTGCACGCAAGGGAGGGCCAAAGCCTCCGCACCCGCATAAAACCAAGCTGCAGCAGTACTTTCGGTAAACCGCAGTGCTGGGGAGGGCCGGTCAGGTAGAGAGCCCATGATTCTAGCCAAATCGGTGCACTCGGGTTTCAGTGAGAGACTGTGCCTCAAAAATAACGCAGAAGACGTAGGTGTGCTACACGCATGTACCAACGACACCCTCCCCCCCACACACACACACAACGTAGCACCCGAGAATAGGAGGAAAGGGACCATGTGGCTAAACACGGATGCTTCCCCCTTCCTGAGTTCTCACTTTCTCTAGGAGGACATTACGAATACAAGCCTAGAACTTCAAGAGGAGTACGTGAGGAGGAGCTCACACACCCACCAGCACATCACGGTGGGTTAGGGTTCCTTCACAACAGCAAGATGGCCTACAGGGACTTCAGTGTTTACCGTGGCATAATTTACACAATTCTTCCCCTTGACTCATCCAGAACGTTTTTCTGAAGTGGTAGAAACATCACACCGGCAAAAGCATGTGTGGGCCTACCGGGAACCCAAACTGAGCTCTTCTGGCTGTGTAACTCTTTAGTTAAATCTTATCAGAACAAATAGTCTCTCCATACTTACACATGCTATGTGCTACAGTGTCTTAAGGAACGGTAAGAACAAGGTGAGAAATGACAGTGGAGCAAAGCTGAGTATTCCAGTCAGCAGTGGGGGTTGCGGCTGCTCCCACCCTACACTCACGTAAATTCAAATGTAGGAGGAAATGTGACAGATATTTCAGTGAGGATTCTCCACTCACATCTTTCATAGGAAAATGGAATAAATCAACGCCTTTATCAAAACATTTTCAAGCTGGTGAAGGTTTGCCTTACTCTTGGGGAATTAGAACCCTGCAGAAACAGAATGATCTTTGTCACTCCTTATTGCAAAGATCTTCCACAGCATTCCATATTCTGTATGTGTGCCCGTGTGTGTATGTGTGTGCGCGTGCGCACATGTCTGTGTGTGCCAGCCATGATATCCTCTATGGCTTCTCTGCTTTGTTTTCTGAGCCAAAATATCTGACTGCTCTGGGGCTCAGAGCTCAGCCAGCCGGATAGCCCGGGAGGGAGCTCCAGGACCTACATATGCCCTTCTGTCTCTGTCCCTGGTGCAGGAACCAACACTCAGGCCACATGCTCGTGCAGCGGCGTCTTCCCAATGCATTGCTCTCGTGCCTCCAGACCTTACTTTAAGGAGACCAAGGTGAGGAGACCTTTGTGAACAGATGCTGCTGTGCGTACAGCACCTGCCGAATTTTCTGACAGAAGATATTCAGTACACAGCCATCAACTGACCACTGTCCTCAGGAATCGGAAACTCATTTCTCTAAAGGAACTATCTGATATACACACATATCCAGAGAACTATTCATAAGCATCTTGCACAACTTGGATTAAAAATAGCAAACATTGATTTGACTGAAAATAACCCCCATTCAAGACCTCACTGGAAGGCCGAGAGGCAAGTCAGCGAGAACACACGGCCACAGCAGGTGCTAAGATCCCAGAACCACGCCCAGCACAGCTAACAGAGTAACGAGGGGCTTCAGGAAGACGATGGGACTCTCGAGATCAGATCTGAATTCTTCCCATTCAAATGTCTGTCCTTTGTGTCTCCTTTCTGAGGCTCTTCGTTAAGGTTATGGCGTTCTTCGCTGCAGAAGTTAACTTAATAATTATGGCTATTTCACTCTACATTTGGCCAATAAGAACAACACAAGTGTGTGTTGGTTTGAATAAAAAAACGCCTCCATAGTCTCGTATATTTGAAGCTTAGTCCCTAGGAAGTGGCACTTTCTGAAACGATCGGAAGGATTAGGAGGTGTGGCTCTCCTGAGGAGGTAAGTCACTGGGGGTGGGCAGTTTCCAAAGGCCACACGAGGTCCAGGCCCTCTCTGCCTGCAGATCAGGATGTGCCTCTCAACTTCTCCAGCACCATGCCTGCCACCACCATCATCCTCAGCATGACAATAATGGCTAAGCCTGCAACAAAGTGCTTTCCCTTATAAGAGCTGCCTGGGTCATGGTTCCCCTTGACAGCAATAGAACAGTGAAGACAAAGCATAAGTCAATTAGGTTTCTCCCTTCCACCTGATTGTACTGGATTCCAGAGACACTCACTGTGCAAAATAGGAGTGTAACATAGGCCCCAATAAGTGACTGTGATGTGGCTCTAAAGTGGAGAACACAGGCCATTTATCTTTGTTTTGTTTTGATATATATTAATTACAGTTTATTCACTTTGTATCCTAGCTCTAGCCCCCTCCCCTCAGCCCCTCCCAATTCCACCATCCTTCCCTCATCTCCTCCCATGCCCCTCTCCAAGTCCAATGATAGGGGAGTTCCTCCTCCCCTTCCATCTGACCCCAGTCTATCAGGCCACTGAGTTCATGTCAGAGACAGCCCCTGTTACCCTGACTAGGGCACCCTCTTGGACACTGAGCTGCCATGGCTACATCTGCCAGGGGCTATTATTTCCATGCATGGTCCTCGGTTGGAGAAATCAGTCTCACAAAAAAACCCTGGGCCCAGATTTCTTGGTTCTGTTGCTCTCCTTGTGGAGCTCCTGTCCTCTCCAGGTCTTTCTATCTCCCCCTTTTTTCATAAGATTCTCTGTACTCTGCCCAAAGTTTGGCTCTGCTTTTATACCCTGCTGGGCAGAGTCTTTCAGAGGTCCTCTGTGGTAGGCTCCTGTCCTGTTCCCTGTTTTCTCCCTCTTCCTACGTCTGTCCCATTTGCCTGAGTGACGATTAATCATCTTACACAGGGTCCTCCTTCTTTAGATTCTTTAGGTGTACAAATTTTAGTATGTTTATCCTATATTATATGTCTAATAACCACTTATGAGTGAGTATATACCATGTGTGTCTTTCTGCTTCTGCGATACCTCACTCAGGATGATCTTTTCTAGTTCCATCCATTTGCCTGCAAATTTCACGATTTCCTTGTTTTTAATTGCCGAGTAGTATTCCATTGTGTACCATTTGTCTTTTTACTGTATTTTTCCTATTGTTTTTGTGGGTGTGGTGTACATATATTTGTGTCTGAGTACAGGGCATCACATAAATGTGGCTCTGAGTGACTGTAGATCTTTGCCAGCTAATTTGCTTGACAGGGGCTCACATTCAGTTTTTACTACTGCATATACCAGACTACCAAGCCTATAAGCTTCCAGGGGAATTTCCTCTCTACCTTCTGTCTCCACATATGAGTACTGGAGTTCTACACACATGCTTTTTTGCTCGGCTTCCTGTTTCTATAAAGTAAATAAAGTTTTACCTTACTTTATTTTGAAATGTGGTGAATAGAACAACAGTACAAATTCAAACAAACAACCTTATATTTTCAGCATGCTCCTTTTTAGAAATTGTCCCATTATCTATGGATACTATATCATTGAGAATTCGGTCTGCGAGGTGTTAGTATTTATAGACAGATCTATGAATCATTTATTTTTAACTTTCCAATGCTCTACTTTGTGAGAAAATTTCTTTCTTCTCATCTAGAAACATCAGTGATCCCACCTTTCCAAATAGGATGCCCTGGCCCTCTGGTCACTGCTAATCCCATTCACCATCATTTGATTTTATCTGTTCATAACAATGTCCGGGTGATGGGCACACTGTGTCCAGTTTTGTCTGTCTATCACATGTTTCACAGTTAACACCTATGGGGAAACAGCGCTTTCTAAAGAATCGGCTCCACAAAGGTAAGAGAGAACAAGCATCTCTCACTTTGGGCGATGGACACAAAGAAATTTCTTTACCAGCCACCAACAAAACAGGGGTAGGGGGGGCAAATCCTCTCCATTGCAGGATTAGGCCAAGGCACATGCTGCTGATTCACATAAGCAAAGCAAGTAGTCCTTTCTTCCTGGGTCCCTCACTCCACGTAGAGCTAGCACCACCCGCAAGGCCACTGCTTACTGGAGAGACTGCAGGCCCTGCTTTCCAGATGAGCCACAGCTAGCGATAGCTGGCTTTGAGACACTGTTATCTCGTCAGCTGAAACAGGAATATTCATACAAGTTTGCAAAAACTTTGCCCACATGGTAAGAAAGCATGAGGCTGGGACTGTGTAGCTCAGTTCAGAGAGCATTTACCTAGAATGCGCGAAGGCCTGGGGTTGGTCCCCTATTCTGCACAACCAAACACGATGGTACACACTTGTAATCCTAGCACTGTGGAAGCGGGAGCAGGAAGAGCAGAAGTTTACAGTCATCCTCCACAGAGAGTTCAGACTGTGCTGGCTGACAGGAGGCAAGTCTTAAGAGAGATCCTCTCCTCACAAACGTCAGCAAGCCTTGAGGCGAGGACCGCTTTGCCAGGGCACGTACCTCGTTGCACTTGCTGACCCGCCTGGCCACGATGAGCTGGATCATGCCGCGTCTGTTGCCCTCGGTGGACATGGACCTCCGCAGGGTCTCCATAGCCTCCTGGTTGGCCTTTCCCAGCAGAGACTCTCCGTTCACCGCGATCAGCTGGTCATTCACCCGGAGCCTTCCATCCTGGGGGAAGGCAAGGAAAGTGAGAAGTTTGCAAGAGAGACCGCTCTTCCCAAGATTTAAACAATCACAACAAAAAAGGAAAGAAAGGAAGGGGCTTTAATCGCATTGTAATCAGCTGTTTCAGCGTCTGTGTGCTTTAGTCTCTTACACCCTGAGTCATTACTATACTCTGTTAACTAAATGGAATACTAATTCAAACAACACAAAGTGAGCGACACTCAACTTTGCCTCAGAAACACCCATCAAGCCTATTTGCAAACAAGATTCATGAAGATCAGGACAATTGCAGAAAACTGCTCTCCACCCTAGGAAACTCACCCTAGGCTTAGAAGCTGTAAACAACCTCACCAGCAGGGGCAGAACAACAAAACCTGTCCCCAGCCCAGGACCTGTGCTTAAGAAGACTCCAGCCTGGGGATCAGATTGAGACACAAATGGTTGGGCTCCAGCCCCCAACTGGAGATTCTAAAAGGAAAGGAAACGTCACTAACAGCACCTGTAGGTCAGAAGGGTGAGGGCGAGGGTGAGAAAAGCCAGCAAGGTTAGCCTGAACCAGGCTCACAGGCGCTTACTTTAGATGCAGCTCCGCCATTAATGATGGACTTGACGAAGATCCCCAGATCTGCATGATTCTCCTTGGAACGGTTGCCTTTGACACTGACACCAAGCCCCGCGGACCCCGAGTCGTTAAGTGGGACTTCGAAAGTCAGGAACTCCCTGGTCCCGTCGGGCGTGAGAACAATGTCCTCATCCTCAGATTTCTACAAGGGAAAAGAATTGCACGGGGAATGAAAATGCCTTTCTCTCAGCTATTACACGGGAGAGCCTGAATGATGAGCTCTCTACTCGGAACAGGACGGTACAGCAGTCCTTCCAGACTACACCTGAGCCTGGCTGCCAGCGGCTTCAGGCCACGCTGCACCGCTGATTCTAAGCAGCACAGGGCGGATACAGAGCATTTGTAGGCTCTGAAAGTCTGCGGCTAGTGTGCAAAATCTTTGCTCTGTTCTGTATTATAGATCAGGAGAAAAACACATAGGAAAAAAAATTTTAAAAAGTCAAGATAAACATAATTTCTTCTTCTCTGCATGGAGGATTTCCACTGTCCTTACAAGTTTGTTCAATATTCACTAACACTGTACATTTTCATGCATAGAAAATATCAAACCCCAGTGATACAAAGCCAGCCAGGAAAGATGTTTAGGTTCATGGCCAGAGCCAAGCTATAGCCACCAACATCTGGGAAACAAGATAGAACCAAATAATTACTGGAAAGAGAATTCCATAATATTGTAATCACACTGTATAGCTGGGGACTATCACACAAGAGTGTTGTTTAATTAATCAGCTATGCACAACCCTTTAGTTTCCTAACTGAAGTCAAGCTCAAAAGAAGCCTTGTAAGACCCAACACAATTAGGATATATACAGCCTGGATCACCTCCCTACCGCAGGAAGAAATGAAAGTTGAATTTACAGTCCAGTGGAGAATGGTGTGAGGCCACATCCTAGTACTAAAAAGTTCAATAGCTAAGAAAGGCAGCTTGCTGCCCAGGCCCTCAAGACCACCAGGCAAAGCCGCCTCCTCGACCTCTGCCACCTGAAGTGAAAAACCAGAGCTCGCCTCGGGCACCAGCCTCGGACAACCCCACTGAGGCCTGCAACTTGGTCCTCCTCTTTTCCCAACTTTGAAGCACCCTGTAGCATCCACACTTAGCCTTTCAAAAAGGAATTGATTACCGTGAAGGACAGGACAGTGAACTATCACCCCAAGTAGACAGCTTTCAGACAATTCTTGGTTACTCACGAAACTCAGCTAATATAGAGGATAAAAACAGGATTGATTTTTTACATCATACCCAATTTTTGAAAAATTCTGAGAACCCAAATCAAATAATGAGGCTTTCACATGTACTTTGTCTTAATTAAATTAACTTCTAGAAAAACAGTATTTATCTGTGACTTTAAAAAACAATAAAAAATGTGCTATTTAAACCCTTAACAAAATGGTTCCTTGTAAAGCAGTTTCTAATTTGCTGATATTCGGTGTCAGTGTGTGTGCGTGCATCCGTGCATATCTGGGCGTGCAAGCGTGCACGGGCCATGAAGCAGGGCCTCAGGAAAGGCTCTCTAGAAGCTGCCGCTGGCCTACACACCCGGCCACAAAGCACACACCCACAAACATTTCAAGTAGCCTGACAGCGAGTAAGGACAAGGAGGTTCTTTTTTTTTTTTTTTAATAATTTATTTAACTTTTATTTTATGTGCATTAGTGTGAAGGTGTCAGATCCTTTAGAATGGGCATTACAGACAGTTGTGAGCTGCCATGTGGGTGCTGGGAATTGAACCCGGATCCTTTGGAAGAGCAGACAGTGCTCTTAACCACTGAGCCATCTCTCCAGACCCCTAAGATTTATCACTTTATTCCACATGAGTGCTCTATTTGCATGTACATCTGCAGGCCAGCAGAGGGCACCAGATCTCATTATAGATGGTTGTGAGCCACCATGTGGTTGCTGGGAATTGAACTCGGGACCTCTGGAAGAGCAGCCAGTGCTCTTAGCCTCTGAGCCCTCTCTCCGGAGGTTCTCAATGACATAAAACCACAGGCTTTTTAGAACATGAAAAGTATGCAGTAAAGGTGAAAACTAAATGTTTAAAGGACATGGCCTATGTGAAGTAAGTATTTGCCATCAAGTGGGGCTTCTCAGCTCACTGCAACCACTTCCTTATCTTTACAATATTCCCAGAGAATAACTGCAATTCAAATCAATAAAACTAGTGAGTTGGAGACAACCCGAGGTCAAATAACTGTAAAAATATTGATACATCACACATTTATTGTGCAGATACGTCTTTACACTCGCGTGATGCTCCAGAAACACAAACATCCACTTCATTTGTCCTTTCTTTAATATTTGTGCCAAAACACAACACTAAGTAATTATTCTGTGAATGGTTACTGTGGTCTTAGTGTAAATAGAAAAATGCACCACACGGAGGCTGGGAGGAGCTCAGCAAGGGAGCACTGATCTAGCAAGCATGTCCCAGGGCCCAGGTCCTATCAGCACTACAAACCACCAAAGCAGGGATACTTAAAAGAGTATTCCACATTGGTAGATGTCACTATTAAAGAGAAAATGGCATCAATAAATCCAAGCCACAAAGTCCCCTGTACTCAGAAATGAGAAACAATTAGGAGACAAATTTGACTCTGCTGACCAGTATTTCTGTTACTGAGAAGGCCGAGTCTGAGAGGCCTTTGCGGAGACCAAGGAACCACAGCTGAATTTAGTGAACACAAGTGCTCACCCTTACCTTCCTTTCCGCAAACCCAAAGGACCTTAACTGTCACATTGACAGATTTGGAGCTTCAGTTTGGCTTTTTCATGTTTACGGATTTCAACATTTCCATAATGATTTTACAAAGGCTTAAATTTCTCTTTTTTTTTTTTAACTACTTGAAAAATCAAGACAAGGAGCTGAGTGAATTCATGAAGAAAAAGGCTAATCAAAGTGGGGGGCTTCCCACTGCCTCACTCCCCCACTTACTATGAAAACTGCAGGGGTGGCAGGGGTGGGGGTGGGGCCGCGCCTTACAGTTTTTGTATGGAATCTTGAGACTTTGTCATTAAGAACACTGAAGGGAGGGACTGTAAGCCCAATTAGCATTTCATTATTAATCCACTTGGCTCTTGAGCAAGACTGAAATTAACACCGGCTTTTAGAAATTAGGTTTTTGGCAGTAACTTTTAAAAGTTTCCTCTTCAAAAGCCATTTGAGTTTTGACATAAAAATCTCCACAAAGCTGAGCTAGTACAGGGCTCTGTGTTCTGACAGTAGAAACTACTTTCTACCTTCTTGTTGTGAAGCTGTGCCCTTTCAAGCAAAGGATTTTAGCTCATGCTTCAGAGACACAAATGTTTTTTTTTTTTTTAATTTACTAGACAAAAGATGTACATTCACATGTTATTTGAGCCCGTCTTTCTGAGCTTCATTATTTAGAATGTTTATTTTTGTTTATTTTTGTAGTAATTGGGGATTGAATTCAAGGCATTGCACGCACTAAGAACTAACCTCAGTGCCGAGATCCCCTGCACCGCCTTTTCTTGAGACTGGCTTTACCCCATAATACCCCAAGCAAGGCTTAGCACAAAGATCCTGCCTTAGCCTCCCCAGTAAGAGGGCCACCAGACCTGCTTATTAAATCACAATCTTATATCTGAACATAGTGTGTTCTTTCCCAATTCAAGAATGGCAAATATTTTTAAAGACTTCACTCTGGGGAGTGTTATAATAATTATTAGCATAGAGTATCTGCCCAGAAAAGTATCCAAAATAAAAAATCAGAAGAACCTAAATTAAGACATATTCTCAAAGTGATGTGCTCTTTAAAAAAAATTAAAGATGTTCTCATAGTAGGTTTGTTTTCAAAGAATCGGTCAGACTAAGATTATGGACACATGAAGGCTAAACACCACGCCATGATCTGGCTTGGACTGCAGCCTACAGATCCAGCCTTCCTTATTTTATAAACTGCTGTTGGTAGTTAGAGCACTATAAAACCAAAGTGGCTTACTGGCACGCATAACTAGAGTGTGGTTACATAAGAAAACGTGCTTGGCATTGAGGCATTTAGGAGTAAAGAATTACACAAATAATTTACTGTCAGTTCAAAAAAAATGTTATTCAGAGAGCATGGTGTAGAGACTGTGGCGGGAAAAGAGGTGAAAGCTATGCTGGATGTAGCAAAATGTGAACAATGGAGGAGGTACAAGAGAACTTTCTGGAATTCTGACGGTACAGGGAAAAAAAATCAGGTGAGACAACTGATCCAGGAGAGGCCTTGAAGGCTGTATTATAACTTACAGAGCTCAACAGAAAACTTGAGCGTTTTTTTACAATGGTATCAAGTTTATCACTATGACTGACAACAAATAATAGAAATATTTCAAGAGAAATACGTCAAAAACATTAAGCAGTCATTATTTCAGTAGAAGCAGTGAAAGAAATTTCAAATCAATTCCTTAGTGAGTCAGCTCTGTTTATCTTTCCAATACCGCCACATCCTGCAAAGACTCGACAAAAATCAGTGTGGGCAGATGAAGGATTTTAATCACATTATGCTTTGCAAAAACCACACAAGTCAGGAAGATTCAAAGCCCCAGAAAAATGTCATTCATCCCATAGCTGGGCTGCAAATCCTTCTCTCAGTATTTATATTGCAAATGCTTCGGGATATAGCTATAGCTGTGGATAACACTAATAAGAAGATAAAAATAAATATGTACATAAAGACATATAAGAACATAAATGTCCCTTGACTCACAGTGTGCTACACCTAGAGAAACCTACTCTTAAGCTGAAAATATTGCAAGCCTGAAATGCATTCAGCATTCCCAATGTAGCCAGCGCCACAGCTAACCCTTCAGAACACGTCTGTTTACATTTGGGTAAAGTGTCTAATAAGGAATTCCGACTGTCCAGTCACCTGTGGACTTCTCAGGCAAGCTGGGACAAGTGCCTGGATATTGTATGTTTCATCCCCTTGTGAACTTGAAAACTGGTACTTGGACCCTTTGTAAGTGGGGGGCTGCCTGTGTGTCAGCTTTTTATGTCAGGCATTTTTTTCATCCAAAGTAAATCAAAAGTTTCATACTTTCTGGTTGGTCAAGGTTTTCCAGGACTTTTTGAGGTTTAAATTCGTGACCAGGTAGGACTTCCTGGGGCAGGTAGTGAAGAGAGAGTCGACCCTTTGAAGGAGAATGGTTGGCTGTGGGTTCAGCATTTATGTTGGGTCAAGACCAGCACTAAGGAAATAAACCAGGCGTCTGCACTAACGGCTGAGAAAAACCAGTTTATTACTTATCTGAAATGCTACCTTTAGACGGAAACATGTATGTGTAAATACATATACATGTCCGTACATATGTGGAAAAATGTGTGCTTCCAGAATGGCTCCTTGGTGTCAGCTGGCCTGCTTGTGTGTGAGTTGCCAAACTCTGCCAGTCCAAGTTACACAGCTTTCCACTACCTTTGCTACAATGACTGTCTTTTCAGTAGAGTGACTTCCTCCTGTCACTAACATCTTCAGTGTGTAACAGCGCTGCGGTTTTCCTCGGCTGTTGCAGGCCGAGTTATTCTGTAGCCAAGAACTCAGTGTTGTGCTCTTCCTAAACTATACTGTGCGGTGTGTCCTTCCCGATTCTGTTAAAACTTGCCATCCAGTTTTAAAAGGGTGAGATATTTAAAAGTACCTTTATGTTTATTCAAGCTACTTGTTTATATATCTGTATTTTTAAAAAAAATCAACTCTTACCTATGTTACCTAAAGCCTTTACATTCCGATAATTTTGGTTTACCTATTTAGTTACAAATTTTGGAAACAAACAGTAACAGTACCCACTGTGAATATTGTTTTGTTAAATGTTCAATTTGCAGGAGTTTGAAATTTTTCCTCCTTTCTACCCCCCGCCCCGCCTTGAGACAGAGTTTCTGTAAAACCCTGGCTGTCCTGGAAGTCCCACAGATCCGCTTGCTTCTGCCTCCCGAGTGCTGGGATTAAAGGCAGAGCCCACATTCTGAGTTTGGGAATATTTTTATTTCCTTTTTGATATTCAGAGATCCTGACTTTTGGCTGTTAACTGTCAGTGCTCTCTTCCACTACACAGCACATCATCACAGAGACCACCACACTCCCCTAGACTAGGAGGCTGGTGCAGGACAGAATGCAGCCCACCCTTAGTTCCCAGCGTGAATTAGGGGTCGTCTTCTAAATCAGACATAGCTGAGCTGCATCTGTATTTAAACTTGAGACCAGAAGGCCTGACTTAACCTCACCTTTTTTTTTTTTAATTTAACAACTATGGTTACCCTAATTGCTGAAATATCATCGTATCTCTTAACTTCACCATATTATACAGTAGAATAGGAGATAATTAACATCTCCCTTTTTACATTCCTTTGACAAGATCCTCTTCCAGGTCTCTTCCCCAACATAGAAGTAAATAAAGTTATTTTAAAACTAGATCACCCTGGCAAAGAGGCAGGGCAAAGAATATACTATATTAGCAAGTAAGCTGTTTATCTTTGGAACATCTCTAAAGACAAGTTTCTTACCGTTTCTTTTGGACTCTGCATCTGGCTTGGTTCAGTATTCTAGAAGAATTAAAGAAAAACATCAATACAGACTGATTTCCATCACCAAGGCCCAGGGACACAATGGTTTATTAAAGGATATTAGATTGTGTGAAAACCCACAAGCTATACGTGAAAGGACATTTTAAGAGAGCACATGTCCTGCAGACTGTAGGACGGCTTAAGCCCAGGTTTCAACAGTTCTTCTACACACACATTTTCACCCACTCATTCACACTACCTCATGAGCTTGTGTGCAAGAAAAAGAAGCCTCGTGAAACTGTGTTTCTAAATATGCCGCTATTTCTAAATGTGCTTTCCAATACCCCAACCAAACCTCAGTCTTAAAAAGCACAGGGCCATTTGACAGCTATATGGATAAAAATAGTCTACAGTGGGAGACACAATTTGATCCCTGAACATGTTCCACAGGGAACACATGCAATTCTTCCCATATAATATAGAACATGAAAAGCTGATATTTAGTTTGAACACACACTAATTAAAAAGTCTTCAGATTAAGACCCACAGAACCGAAACAGAGAGAGTTGCATTAATTGGAGTTAGGAATTATTTTTAAACACTCCCTTTGACTTTCCAGAATGTTATTATTTTAAGTCTCAAAAAGCAGCTGCGGCACACATAACAGACTGACAGCCTACTGGCCCTGTCCTTAATGAAAAGCTCACAAGCAATAAATTAAGTAAGGGAGGGGAGGGCGAGCGGGAGCAGCAGACGGGAGAAACAGAAGCCTGGAAGAGCCAACTTGGCCCAGGAGAACCTGCCTGACCGCAGGCTGGCACTTGCTCCCCGGTGAGACTACTGAGGCACAGTGCCACAGCTTGGCAGCTCGGTAAGGCCAACACACAGCCTCGGAGTGCCAGGCAGAGCTGGGGCTTCCTGCTTGCCCAGGGGAGCCTGGTGCTTTGGTAAGGGCTCATTTGCAATCGAATACAGACATCCCAGATTTAGAATCAGGTGGCATCTTAAACACAAAATTGGATAAGAGTGGAGGAAATAGAAAACTGAATTTAAATGGGAAATAATGCATTAAACATTTGTTAACTAGGACAAAGTTTTCATAATTTATTCAAAATAGACTTAAAACACAAGTGCTCAACTTGTCACCCTATCATAGTCTGAAATCTCCACAAAACATGTAGGACTTTCAGGTCTGTGTGTAACCAGGGAATTGGCTTTAACAGCTATTTAAAATAATAATTTCTATAGAAAATGTATCAAACGTGATACATCACAATTGCATAATTTAAGACAGTCAGATCTATGACAGATTTGGGGAATCTGACCTTGCCACTCGTCACGGCTACACAAAGCTAGCAGCTAGCTGAAAGCAGGTATCAAACATTCCGTGCTGGCTCGGATCAAGTCTGCCTTGGAATATTTAAAGATGCTACCTGAGCTTGAGCCAAAGCAGCCTTCCAACCACATCAAAAGGTAATGACAGCTTCCCAAATCAGTCATGTCGACGTACAAAGGTATATATAATTTATATATAAAGAATAAAAATAACTTTTTCCAAAAGAGGATTCAGAGGTACATTCACACTCCACATCTTATGCCCACCAACACCATCTCAGTGTCTGCCTTAACGGTGTGAGTGAGCACAGGGGACAAAGGACAGCTACAAGCAAGGTCACCGTTCATGTTTTTCTAAGCAAGGCCACTTGTACCTCTGTCATGTCTTGGCCTCTTTTATCATTTATTTTCCTAACAATAATTTTGTGAGCATCCCTATTCAAACAGGAAGCACTATTAACCTTGCCTGGATGTACTTACTATGAAAATCTGAAACCGAAGACTTTGTCACATGAGAGGAGGAGATGGCAGTATTTCAACTGTAGCCTCTGGGGTGATAGTTATGAAATAACTGACATCTTGTGATTCAGTCACGTTAGCAGGGAGTGAACAGTGATAAACACACAATTTCCTAGAAACCCTCCTTCTAAGCTGTGTATAAACCCTCATCCATTCATAGCTGAGGCATCTGTTGCTAAGACTAGCATGGCCGAGAAGGCTACACTGAACTACACAAGAAGAAAATAAAAACTATGGGAGTTCCTCAGGACAGGTCTCTACAACATTCACCCACGAGTAGGTGGCCTACATCACAGGTTCATGTGCAGGGGAAGGCTTCCATCTGCTCATGGTTACACACCAGCTCCCTGGGGTGGAAAGCATCTTCCTGTCGAAAGACCAGAAGGCTCACGGTCCCTTCCATCTTGGTGCTTCTCAACAGGGAAACGACTTCCTCCTGAGACTTGCCGGCTAAATCGACTCCATTGACCTAAAACAAAGAGGAAAACTTTAGCCACCACCCTGCACGGACAGGCCGCCAAAGAGAAGCCAGAGATCCAGAACTGAGGGCGCCTGCTACCGAGTGAGACACTTTTACTGCAAATTTTGGTCGTGAGCAGGGAACCATGGAAGCTTTGGTGGCTCATAAAAGAGGTCGACCAGGGAGCCAGAAGCCAGTGAGGAAGTAATAAATCCTTTAGTGTTCACCCATAAACCAGAAGCTGCAATTGCCAGGCTGAACAGGCAGCATGCACAAACAGACAAGAGCTCAAGGTCAAGTCTACATGAAGTCACTGCGAGGTCTGACCTTTGCCTTGTGTGTCGCCGGTTTGCAGCAGCCAAACCAAGGGAGGAAAACAGCAGCAACACTTTAGTGCAAAAAACACGTTAAGTTTCAGTGAGAGTAGAGAAGAATGAATTTTTTTATCATTAAAAAGTAAACACTATCAGCAAAAAGAATCACTAAAATATAGTAACAATTTGGGAGGAGAAAATGTTTACATCTTAGCTTTTCTCAAGATATAAGAGAATTCAGTCAGGCAGAATTTTGGAAGAATATGTTTTTAAAAGAATCTCATTTTCATTCATGAGAATTATACATTTCAAGGAAAGATGTTTTATTTTTATTATTGTTAAGATGTGGTTTGGTTGCATATGTGGCACAGGCTGAAGTGACTAAGAACTGGGACTGCCTTGAATCACAATCCTCCTGGCTAGGGCTCCCAAGAGCCAGGTGTGCATTAGCACACCTGGACACAAGTTCCATGTTTTTAAAGTTGTATATTGTTCTCTATGAGCCAAATAAGAGAAACAGACATATTACATAAGCTTTTCCTGTAGTATGCCTCAGGACCCAGCTTTATTTTTGCTGAAACAATCTCAGAGATGCAGATGCTTTAATTCAGGATGGCAGCAGAATGACGACAAGTCCAACCAATGAAAACCTTGCAGACAGTAAGGAGAGGGTGCTAGCAGCTGAGAGTTTATCCGCTTACTATTCCTCTTAGGATCCCTACGCTAAGGAAGCTTGAGCGCCGACTAGTGTGCACTAGGACAGTGGTTTCCGCAGCATGGGTTCGAAACAGACAAAACTCAAGCTTCAGAATTGAGACAAGCCTGGCAGCTGTAAACACTGAACCCAGCTCAGAAGCAAGGCAGGCCACGGAGCGTTTCCATTTCTCAGAGAAAAAAGGAAGGTGTTTGTTGATTTGCTGAAAGCAAAGCCAATCGTCTGGCTAAAAAGGTGCAAAGATAGTGATTATCTCACAGGACGGAGGACTAGGGCAGCAGAAGGGAGGTGATGAAGACAGACAAGGAGGCTGCCTTGTAGGCAGGGGCAGCAAGCCTTGCTGTAAGGTTCCGAGTTCCACCCCAAGCTCAAGGAAGTGGACAGGATTAGCTTTTCTCCTTTTGAACTTAGAAGCCAGTTTTGAAATAGAAGAAGCTGTAACTAGTAATTTCCCTACAGCTGCTCAGTTTATATGCTCAGTCTAAATCTTTTGGAAAACAGTCCCTTTAATACAAATGGGGATCAATCTTTCCTATTAATAGGTTTTTCCAGTGTCATCTGAAACAAGTCTGAAACCTTATATACAGGACAAAAGAGAAGGAACTAACACTTAGGGGAGAAATTCTGAAATAAAGAACCAGGAAAGAGAAAGTGGTTTCTTAGCTCTGCTGCTTTTTCAGGAAGCCTTTTGGAAAGTTCAGCCCAAGGGGCCAAAGCTGCACCGGAGAGTGCATTGTGATGAAGTTCATATTATCCGTGTTTGAAGAATAGCCAATGATACATGATCTCTGCTAAGAAGAAAGGACAATGAAGGACCAATCTGTGCTGTCTGTAGTCCGTTGGCGGGAGCTGAGGCCTAGAGTACACACCGGCTCAGGGACAGGGTGTGGCTCAGGGGTAAACTCTTGCCTAGAGTTCCCAGTGTGCACACTTGGATACGGCTCAGTTGTGGGCTGGGGCTCGGCGCTGGGAGGCACAGGTCAGTAGAGAAACCCAGCCTAGCGTGAGTATGCACTCGGCTGCATCTACGAAGACAGGCCTTCAGTGCTGAGCCTCTCCTCCTCCTCACAGAGGTCCTATCAGAAACTAGGCCTGTGTGTATTTTCCCACAATGACCGCAAATGCCAATTAGGTTAAACCACAGCATCAGAAGGAAGTTTCTAAGAGCTCTCTGTCTTGCTGTTGACATCGGAGGCCGTGTCTCAGGCTGCGGTGCAGGTTGCCATGCCACCTTTTTGCCTCTCTTTCAAAACATGCTGTTCACAGTCACTTTAGCCGTCTAGGCTCCGATGTCCACATACTTGTCTTGCCTGTGCTGACGCACATCGGTATGTGCTACCTCAAGGCCAATCGCAGAGGGTGGCGCATGCGAAACCAGCCCTGCCCTCACACACCAAGTGTCTGTGCAGCAAAGTGTTTACAAACCATCTAGGCAGAAAGGTGATCATCAGATAATTTGGGGAAATACAAAGTAAAACAAAGAGTTTGCCTTTTTCCCCAATGCAACACTCCTACTAAAACACACAATTTCCTCTTTCATGAAGACATTTTCAAAGTGACTCCTGAAAAAAGGAACTTTTCATGAAAGTTGGCAGCCCTGGCTGAGAAGCCACTCACCTCTACTAGCCGGTCTCCGGCCTTGAGTCTGCCATCCTGAATGGCGGCCCCTCGAGGAAGGATGTTCTTGACGTAAATGGGCGCTGAACCACCTATCGTGACATCTCGGGAGGTGATGCTGAACCCCAGTCCTTCTGTACCTAAGCCAGAAACAGCAGAGACATCTGTGGGTGCCGCCGTCCATGTGTGCCATGTACAAGGGACTGGCTCATAGTCTGTGCCCAAGTCCAGTGGCATACCTTTCTTTTAATGCTGTAAAAGCTTAAGTAAACTGCTTAGGTTTGAATTGTTTAGCTCTAAAAGTCATTAATCTTCTTTGGTGGTCTTAGAAAGCAGATGAAAGTTAATGAACTCATATGTCAAGTCTGGGTCTTTGGGTACCAACTGGACCTGGCAAGTCTCCTCGAACAAACCAGGAATAAACACTTGTGTTAGAGTCTATGAAACCTTTCGGCCTGGAGGATGCTCAGTGGTGAAGAGCACATATTCTTGCAGAAGCTGCGGGTTTGATTTGCACTCACACAGTGCTCACAACCGCTCTGTGCCAGAGGATCCAAGACTCTCTTCTGGCCTCCACAGGCACGACAGCCATGTGGTGCACAGACACACATGTAGGTGAAACACCCACACACAAAAAATAAAAACAGACCATAGAAACTCCATGAACCTCAAAAATCAGGTAGTAGCAATAACGGTAACCATCTCTAGAGCACAGTGCAGGAGAAAAGGGGAGCAACCTCCAGGGAGGGCAGAGACACAACAGTGGTATTTTCAGTGGCCAACCTTTCTCGTGGTCCAAGAACAGCAACCGACTTGGATACATGAACCATGCTGTTTACCTGTGACAAAGGTCCCTTCCCACATGTGATCCCCTCCCCCATCCCAGGACAAAGCGCAAAGGGAGGGGTCAGCTGGGAACCAAGCTGCTGAACCCTAGGGTCACCTCTCAGGTTCACAGGTACCAAGATACCACGGGGTGTCACTAAACTGCTTTCCTGATCGATAGGACTTAATCTCTCTTTGGTAGATTTCTTAGCAAACAATCTTAGACCACTATGTTGTGGAAAGGGGTTATACCCCTTTGAACCCAAAAATACACTAAGGTGCTGTGTGCAGACCCTGACAGGTTTCTGTGGAACCCTAGAAATTTTATAACTTTCAAATGAGCAATTTCTATTTAAGCTCATTTGCCCCTCATGCCACATTGCAGGTAATATGATGGCAAATGCATGACCACCCTGAGAGGGACGAGGAGATGCAGCGAAGAACAGTGAGGACGAGTACGTCAGCGTGGCAAGAGGTTCACGTATTAAATTAAAAACTGTAACGTAAGAGGAAACAAACAGGCAGGTAAAATACGAGCTGAACAGAAAAGAGGCCAAGTGAAGGCTTAGTGAGACGCCATAAATGCTCTCGGGTGCCAACTAAACACTATTCCTGATCGAAAGCTCTGATCAGACTGACTGTTAGTGTCTGCTGTTGTCTGTGTGGAAAAGGAAGCCTTGAATGGCAAGCTGTCGATATGAATTTTACTAATTATCCTTCTGGGCTGCCGCGTATGTCTCTGAGCCTTCACAAAACTCTAATGACTGGCAATAACATCTATTAAGAAAGAATTTTAAATTATTCTTCTTTGCAATATTAATTTATACAAACTACAGAGATGGACTATTATACGAAGCATAATTCTATTAAAATAACAGAAATAACCCCTAAATCTATATGCCAGAAGTTCAGGCAATGACCTTTAAGGGAAAGATAAATAGATGTCAATTTTCATTTAGTGAAGCCAACAAAACATTTTGCTCTGATTGAAACAGATTACTGACCTTCTCCTCTGACTTTATTAAAAAGCTAATTTCTACAAAAGAGCATGGGATTTGAGAATGCCAGAGCAGTAATAAATATTAAGAAGTCATAATTATTGACGCAAGTGAGTTGGGGCTCTTCTGTTCTGCAGCCTCCTATGACAGAGTTCTATAATTGTTCAGTGAGTTATTATCGTGGAGGCTTCTGTTTTGAGTATTAAGTATCGACTCTAACTTGTGAATTAATGTCACTTAGAGAACGATGGTTGCTTTGAGTTGAACCTATGTTTAGCACGATCACACTATATTTTTAATGGGCTTCTTAAAAGACCTGGTAAAAATATCTTCCAGCTATAAAGAAATATTTGATTCTCATGCAATCACTATTACCATATCTGTATTCAGTTTTAATCAAAGACAATCAACATTTTCTATTTATGTAAAACATCTGCAGACACTGCTGTAAAGGCAGCAGGCACTTTTGTGGTATATTCTCACTGCTAGTTAACAGAAGTCGATACAAATCGATGGGACACTACATCATTGAGATAAGTAAAAAAAATAAATAAATAAAACCCACTACTTCTAATTTCCTTTTATGAATGAAGATTAGACTTCCTGAATTAGGTGACTAAACAGAATTCTACCTTTCTTAAATGATACTAAAGCAAAATTACTAGTTCTTGTATTCCAAACTAGCAATTCTTTTACTAGCAAGTAAAATGACACTTCCTGAATTAGTCCACTTTACATCATAATTCGTCACATTTATTGTTTGTGTAAAACTGCAAATGATTAAATAAATACTCTTTGCTCAGTAAAGAGAAGTCTAATAAAAACAACATTATGAAGTAACATTATAGAATGCTGGTCAGGTAAGTACTGTCTGTGTAAGAAATCTGAGCAGGATTTTTACTCTTCACATACCACTATTGTGCTGCCTGACATATTTTTGGTTAAAAACCAAAGCCTGTCACTTGAGTGGGGAGAGGAGAACGGGAACTGGATCTTCCCCTCATTGAGAAAAGACAGAAAACAGAGGGCTCACCCCATACAGCTTGCAAAGTGTCAACACATACTATCAAGTCCTATGTGTGCCAATCAAGCATCTGCGGCTTAAAAGCCAATAATCCAAAGCTGTGGTTCACACAAAGTTCAATGAAAGAATTGTTCTGGAAGGAAACAGCAGGCGCATATCATTGTAAGCGCTACCTCAGTGAAAAGGAGAGACTCCTGAATGCCATGATCTGAAAGACAGGCTGGCAAGGGTTTGCTGTCCACAGCTGCCACACACAGGTAAGTCATTCTGGATGACTCTCTAGCCAATGCTGTTGCTGGCTGAGCCCAGAAAGGCAGCTTTTAGAAAAACTATATTGGAAAGGCATGGTTTTGAAAAACTCAGCTGAAAAGGACACACAGCAGGCAAGGAGTATCTTGCTCTTGACACAAGGCCACTGACCATCTCAAGGTCAAGTGTGCCCATCACTCTGCACAGTGGGAAAGCCCAGCTGCACACCTGTTCCCCTGTGTCTATAGAAAGGAGATACAGAAATACGTCGATAAGGGTGGGGAACACTTACCCACACCTGTTACCGTAGCCTGTCAAATTCTGGAGAAGGAAGAGCAAACTGACAGCTATGTGAACCAGACCTCTTCAAACAGTGTCCCTTCCCAGGACATGCTGCTTACGGCAGCATCTGGGCACGGCTGCCAGTCAAGAGAGCCTGACCTGCACTACTGTAGTGAAGGAAAACCTGTAATCTAGTTTTAGCATAAACACTCTCCCCTAGGAATAGTAGTGGATTCTTGAAAACACATGCTCTAACCTATTTTAGACTTCTGCATTTTATTTCCTCTGTGCACGGGTGTACAAGCATGTGGAGATGTGCAAGCACCTGTGTACTGTGTGTGTGGAGGTCAGAGTGAGCGGCGTCAACTTTTCTGACTTAGGGTCTGAGACAAAGTCTCTTATGAAAGTGGAGCTTGTCAATCTGTCTAGACTGGCCGCTAGAGAGCCAGCTGCCCCTCCCCCACAGCCTGGCATTGATGGAATTGCTGGGAATCTGAACTCAGGTCCCCACACATGTACAGCAAGCATCTTGCCACCAAGTCTGTCTCCACTGGGTAGGGATGAAGATCAGGGCAGAGCCCTGGAAAGCCAACACAGAGCCTCGAGCTTCAGCTTAAGCACCTGAGCACACCCAATGCTTAACAAAGAAAACACCAGAAGAGCCCACGTAGCCCACCCCAGCCCTCCTCCCAGCCTGTCTCTTAGGAAACCCCATCTGGCGGAAAGCACATTGTACCTTTCTTAAGCTGGATGTTCAGTCTCTTGCCTACTTTCTTGGTGTTGTACACACTGCCTACGTTGGTACCGTGGATGCTCTGGGGTGCCATGGCTGGGGCTGGGGGTGGTTTGGTTGGGGCCTGAGCACCGTGAGGTAGTCGGGGGTGAGCATCCAGCTGCTCAGGTGGATGGCTCAGTCTGGGTGCCCTGGGCACGGCGTGGGGGGCGCTGTCGGCCACGCCCCTGCTGTCCACACAGCGGCTGTCAGGGCTGAAGCGGCTAGGGGAATAGCTGTGCTCGCGCTGCGAGAGCTGCTCATACTGCTCCTTGTTCGCGGCAGGGACCACGTGGAACCAAATGACACGTGTTCGCATGGCTTGGCGGAACATATGTTGTGCTCTGGATGTGACAAAGAGTGGAAGATTAGCGAGTGAAGACTAGCAGAGCAGAAGATAACATGAGCTTGATTAAATATACTAATTAAGCAGGAAGAACCAACAGACTGTTGGAGCCCTTTATGACACACGTATGTAAAGCTCCGATAAAAGCAGAAGAGTTTCTCCAAATGCAAATCTCTAATTCTGTAAACAAAAATGATAAACCTATCCACGGCTACAGAGAAAATAAAGTGTGCTACCCTGTAAATCAGCAATGACAGTTAAGTGCTAACACAGGTATTCCGCTTATGAGAAAATCCCAAGATGGCTTTCTCCGACAGGTGTGTCCAAGCTGCCGCCCACAGGCCACATTCATCTCAGGATAGCTATGGATGCAGTCCAACACGTTTGCAGAAGGCTAGGACAGATCCCAGTTTCAAAGGTTGGCGGTGCCTGCCCAGGACTACGCCGTAGAGCTGATAAAGGCGTCTTTAAAGGTGTTGTTATTGTTGTTCTTAATTTAATAAGGGCTTCAGTCAAGGTAAAGAATGCCCCAAAAGACACAGTATTGTGACTCAAAGGAGCCTTTCTCCTAATTGACTCTGTGAAAGACAAAAATGGGTTTGTGTTTGGTAAGCACAGGGTGGACTTCCTGAATGCAGGGAAACCAGCACCATGGTAACCCTAAAGGCAGGTCCATGACAGCATGGCAAGAGCTCAGCTGGTTAGGCCACTCTAAATATAGACCAAAGGGGGTAGTCACAGGAAATTTGATTAAATTGTAGATAAAAACTAGGTAACTGCATTAAATCCTCTCCTTGGCATTCAGTATGTGTCAGTGTCAGTAATTTGTTCTGTAAATGCAGGACCACAGTGGAAGCCACCCCACCCCGCCACCAGGGGAGAGGACCCCTTCACCACCACCTCCACACTTACTGCTCGAATCTCCTGTTCCGAAGATCTCCATCATTAATCCTCACGATGCAGTCATTCTCATGGAAAAGGTTCTCTTGCTCAGCTTTTCCACCTTTCTCCAGCCGCTTTACTAACAAGCCCAGTGTTCTAGAACATCGAGAACGGCAACAGTCACAGGGAGCCACTCACGCCGCTCGCCTTAGCTCCACTGTGCATGTTCACAGGCCCCTCGAGGGGGATGGATTACGGCACTACTGGCACATTCAGGTAACAGCGAGACCGATCCCAACGGTCTAAACGATGTGTACAAACTGACCCTTTCAATAGCTGCATCCTTCTGAGACTAAGGGCACACTAACTGATACAAAAATGGTGGCTCTGGAGCCTGCTTAGGGCCTCAGTGGGCGTCACAGACGGAACAGGGATGACCAGCAAATGGCTTTGCTGGGTTCTGCTTCAGTCCAGCTGACATGCAGCCCCTGCTCCCTTCACAACACAGATCATAAGGAGTGCCTGTCCTCGGGGGTTAAAAGGACGACAGCAGAGATGTGAGGAGGAAAGAGGGACAGAAGGGGGAGAGAGGGAGAAGAAAAGAGAAACAAAAGGAGAGAGAGAGAAGAGGAATGGAAGGAGAAATGTAGAGCAAAGGAGGGAAGGGGAGGGAGGGAGAAAGAGTGAGAGCGACTTTCCTGGCATGTGGATTCAACAACAGGTCTGATAATTGCAATTCCAAAACCTGTTGAGTCTCTTCCTTAAGTAAGTGAGCTGTTGCCACACTCTAGGCAAAGAAAAACAGAAGCAGGGAAGAAGTTGAAAGAATGACGGTTATTATTATTTTTTTTAATCTGTACTCAAACTATGAGAACATAAAATGAAATTCATGGAGAAGGAGCCAAAGGAAGGAGGCAAAATTATTAATCTCTTTGTAAGGGTTTAAATAAAAATTTCCCAACAGGCTCGAGGAGCTGAACGCATCCCCAGGTGTTGGTACATTTGGGTGGTGTTTTGGGACCTGCAGAAGGCACAGCCGTGCTAGAGGAAACACTGCCCCACTTCCAGCTCCCTCGGCTTTGCTTCTGGGGCAGAAGATGTAATCTCTCAGCTTTTCGCTCCAGTGGCCTGCAGCCAATGCCTCCCCCACGCTGGGCTCTTAGCCCATAGAACCATAAGACAAAATAAACTCCTTTTAACCCCAAGTCACTTCCGGTCCTGGTCTCTTATTACAGCAAAGGAAAAATTGGTAGCTGTGGCCATGAAGAAACCAACCATGCTGATTTTTGAGGGAATGAGGAAGACTTTTGAACTTTGTACTAGACAAGCAGCTTGAAGGGCCAACTAGACCCCACCCAGCTAAGCATCCAACTTTTCAAAGAGTTCAAGGGCTTTTCCAGGCAGCCATTCCAAGGTAATAATCTGAAGTAAAAACAATGCAGTTACCCATTTCATTTCTGGCCCATCTGCAGTATTGGTTTTTTTTCAGTGCTGGGCAAGCACTCTAACACTGAGCTAAATCGTGAAACCTTGCTGAAGACTGTCTTTCTAAATTGTCGTCCTCTGTGGCCAAATGCATTAGTAATGCTAATGAATGATAAAACATCACAGGTCCCAGGGAACCCTGGCAAATGCCTTTTATCACAGCACAAGGAAGTTCTAGGTCATCCTCAGCTATAAAGTGAGTTCCAGGACAGCCAGGCTGTTACATAAACACCCTGTCTGAGAGACCTGGTTACAGATCATAAGCAATGACTGGCCAAAGTGAAAGGCAGGATGCCAACCGGTGCTTCAGCAGCCACTGCTAGCTAACAGTCATGCCAGAGAATGGGCAGGGGGCTGGGACACAGTGACCTAAGTGGTGCAATCATCTCCAGACAAGGAACTGATGGAAAGGTCAAGTGCTCCAATCTGCAAACATTTCTCACTGGCATCATTGAATCAAAATAAACACAAAAGGAATGGGAGTGAAAGATCAAAAAACACCTCAAAAGAAGATGTCGCCAGCCATGGACATGGGAAGGTCTTCTGAAGAGCAATGCACAGGCAGCTGAAGTGTCAGGCACTCTCACCGACCTGGAAGCAGTTGGGTGACTGACAAAGCCATCCGCATGCCCATTACTTCAGATGCCAGGTAGTCTCAAGTCTGTCTCTCTGTCTCTCTCCCCCCCTGGTTCCTCCTTTTTTTTTTTTTTTTTGACAGGGTTTCACATGTAGTCCAGGCTGCCCCAAACTCACGGAAATCTACCTGACTCCACCTCCTGAATATTGGGATTAAAGGAATGTGCCACCACCTGTCTAGATATATATCTTATAAACTAAATTCATCAGCCAGTTTTTTTTTTTTTCTTTTTCAGAAGCAATTAGAGACAGAACCAGAGACAGAGAGAGACAGGGAGACCTCTGTTGTTATATTGGAGAATTGGAAGAGTTAAGGATGACCCAGGGCCTACTGGCTGTCAGGGTAGACAGCATGCTTTCCTTCTTGGGTCTACAGCCAGAGTTCCTTCAGGGGAACCATGACCCATCAGAAGGAGCTAGGGGAAAAAAGGAGGGCTAAGCTCTTTAGGGGGGGAAGAGGACTGTTCTGGAATCAGAGCCACCCATGCTGGCTGCACTGAGCCACATGCGCAGTGCTTTATGAGTAAGGCTGGAGCAGCACATGAAGAATGCCTACAGTGCGGGATGACGGAAACATGACTGCTCTCACTGCCATGTGCACATCAGGCAGGTCTTAAAGCAGTCCCAGGCTTTCCAAAGAAATGCCATTTTCTTTTCTTGTTAGATTGAAATATTTCTCAAATCTACTCCTCTTCCACTGTTTACCACAATGCTTTTTCCCCCCTCCTTATTTTAGAAAAAGTAAGGCAAGAGGAGAAGGAAGGTGGCAGAGAGGAAGGAGGGAGGGAAAGAAAAGGGAGAAAATGTTATGCCCACTGGACTAAATTCTGAATACTTTATTTAAAGCAAAACAAACCAAAAAATTTAGACGATCACACATTCTCCTTTAAATCGTTCCCTTGCAGTTGCTGAGCAGTCTCTCTGGGGAAGAGGAGGAGGGGGCATTCAGAAGGCAAGCTGCTGGATGCTGCCTCTCTGTGTGCGATGTTGGTTGCATAATTAGAAATTTAACTGCTCAGATTATATTACGGATTCACCACTACATTTTTACAAGGTTCATTAGCCTAATTATACACTTAATTCAAACAAACTCAGTTGCACATGTTCACATTTTAATTCTAAGTATAAATTATAACCAATGATAAAACTGAAAATAAGTAACAAATGTCGTATTGACATTTAAATTGGCTTAGTGTGAGTTCTGCTTTGATCGTCTCCACTCCCTCAACTGCCACCAGCTATGGGAATGATGGATCAGAGTTTATCATCGTAAGTGCTGACACAGTACAACACGATAGTAAAGGCATGGACAGGGGGTGTGGCAAAAAGACCTTGTCAGCTCCCCAAGGGTTACAAGTGGGAGCTAGAATTCTACATGACTCAGAACCATGGCCATGGCCACAGTGGACAGCCACAGACAGAGTTTAAAATTTGTAGGCATTTTGGTTAAAATAACAATCCTGGTAGAGAGCAGATCAAGTTCAGCATATAGGTATAAAAATGCTTTTCTTATGTCATGCAGTACCATGTACAAAGAATATTTAATAAAAAAAGAGTTTTAATTGAAAAAGACCCTTGTAAAGAAGCTGGTAGACAGCTTGCCAGCACATGTGAGGCCCTAGCAGGGTGCCCAGCACAGCCACAGACAAGAAGGAAATGTGATGAATGAAGTGGGCAAAAGGTAAATTGAGGTGGGTAGTTTCTTCAATTTAAAGTGGAAATTAGACATTCTACTGCTTCAGAAAAGAAAAAAAAAAACAAATTTTCTAAAAATATAAAAAGGACAGTTTCAACCTAAGTACCTAGGAGAGCTCCTAATAAGCCCTCTGCCAGTGATGGACAGACAGCATGTGCACAGATCAACCACGAAGAGGTCTGAAGGTCAAATATAAAAATGGGAAATAGACATTGAGAAAATAAAAACATTTTTCTTTGAATGTTCTAAAGAAAAGATAATTAACTAGGAAAAAGAACAGTGAAGGATGCAACAGTAGCTATAAATCAAGTAAACCTTAACCGAAGAAACAGCCAAGCTCAGACTTTGCTGGGATATTTGAATGGGTTAGCATGTGACTTTCTAAAGTTACTTGCCTGCTTTTCACAGGGAAAGAGAGAAGGCTGGGGGAGGGAGAAACGGAGGGGAGGAGGGAAGAGAGAGAGTGGGAGAGGGAAAGTGGAAGAGGGGGAGAGAGAGAGGGAGGAAGGGATGACAGATGGAGGGAAAGAAGGGGGAGGGAGAAGGAGGGGAAGGGAGAGGAAGAGAGAAAGAAAATAAAGTAGCCAAAAAGTGCAACTATAATGGAAATGACTTAGTCACTATGATAAGATGCCATGACCAAGGCGACTTCTAGAACAGAGCGTTTACTTAGGGCTTATAGTTTCAGAAGTCCAGTCCATGACCATAAGACGGTAGCAGGCATGCTGCACCAGAGCTGGGAGTTTACACCTTAAGACACAGACCCAGGCAGAGAGCGCGCTAACTGGGAATGACAGAGTCATTCTCGGCCAAACCCCCACAGATGTGCATATAAAAAACAAGTGGGAAAGAGTAAGAGCTGGAGAGGATAGAGTCTCCACAAGGAGAGCAACAGAACAAGAAAATTTGAACACAGGGAACTTCCCAGAGACTCATACTCCAACCAAGGACTATTCGTGGAGATGACCTGGAACCCCTGCACAGATGTAGCCCATGGCAATTCAGTGTCCAAGTGGGTTACATAGTAATGGGAAGAGGGACTGCCTCTGACATAATCTGATTGGCCTGCTCGTTGATCACTTCCCCCTGAGGGGGGAGCAGCCTACCAGGCCACAGTAGAGGACAATGCAGCCACTTTTGATGAGAACTGATAGACTAAGATCAGAAAGGAGAGGAGAACCTCCTCTATCAGTGGACTTGGGGAGTGGCATGCATGCAGAAAGGGGAGGGAGGGGCTTATGGGGGGATACAAAATGAATAAAGTATAATTAATAAAAATAAATAAAAAATTCTAGAAAAAAAAAACAAAAAAGAAAGAGTGATTAGTAAGTAGGACACC